ACAGGGACCGAAAAAAAAAGTTCAGGTGAAACGCGCAGGAAGGTTTTTCTTGTTCCCGCCCGCAGCACGAAGCCGGGTACACCAATTCTGGCACTGGCGGCGGGCCCTTGTTTGTCGTAGCTAAGCTTGGCAACAGAGGGTTTGTTTTTGCTCGTTGTTTGCCGCGCCCATCGCCCACCCGCTCTTGGTTTCTGCTGGTGCTGCTGTTGTTGCCAGAACTTTCCTGGCTGCTGAACTTGCTAGCGCGCATGGCTTCCTGATTTACACTGCGGGTGCTTCCCGTCGAAAATCTGAACGCGACAACGAAATCTGTTCTCGCTGCAAGACTGGGGGTCGCCAGTCGCAGCCGTTTGGAGGTTCCCACCGGTGAGACTGGTCTGGGTGGGCTCGTCCTCCTGCATGCTGAGGTCGCTGCACTTGGCCGATGGTTTGCCAGTTTTAAGCACGGGGCACGCGGGGGTCGCCCCCTGCGCTCGCATGCCCACTGCTTGCGTGCAGCCCGCATTTCCGGCACCATGTTGATAAGCAGCAGATGACGGCACGACAAGGTGTCAGAAACTGTTGGGTCTGGGATCTCGCAGCATGTGCTCGATGGTGGCAAGTTAGATGCGGCATTTCGCCGTGCGGAAGCGGGGTCATGGGTTGCGGACGGTGTCTTCGCAAGTGTGCGTCTCGGACTGCAAATTGAAGGACACCTGCGAGTGGTATTCAGTGGTACGTAGTGGCTTGTTTTGGATGTTATGCAGATTAGACGGTGTCGCAGCATGTGTTGTGCAAACTGGCAGTGGCAGGCGACACGAGTCAAAAAGATCTTTGAGAAAGTTGAATATGCTGCTGTGGCAATGTGTGGCGACATGGTCAGCATATTATGGATTGTCCATTGTGCTCGTACGCGCACTACATTCATTGCGTGGCAACGCCGCCGAGGATTTGGGACTGCAATGGTTATGATCGGAACTGCGATTCCGCGATGGCGTTTAGATGAACATGGCACGAAACCGCTGGAAAACGTTTGGTCGTTCAGCGGATTCGAATCCAAAAGCTACGGACTGATGACGGCGATGTGCTCAATCAACGGTTGGTAACCCTTGCATAGCTTGTGCTTCTACCATATGCAGAATGCGAGTCTCCTCGTCATGACATGTTGAGGTGTACGCGAAGTCCGCCAGATCTTGGGATGTCATCGTGCGGATGACTTGTGATGCTTCGGCTGAAGTATGTTGCGCCTGCTGTGGCGTTGCGCGTGATGCAGCATCTGATTTTGCCACGTCTGCTGGATCAGGAATGGCAAGGTCTGAAGGGTGCCCAGGTGGAAGTTTGCACCTGACATCTGCCAGTTGCTTCTCGTGGCTTTGACTCCCGCTGCGCAGATTGGTGCGATTATTCAGCAAGGTTGGCACGGTGATTGTGACGGGCGTCTTGGCCCGTACAGTGCTTCATTCATAGTTGGTTTTTACTGCGTGGGCGTAGGATGCCAGTGCAATCCAGAACAGGCGTCGTGAATAGAAGAAAAGGGGCGGACGTGTAATGGTTTCCGTGGGATATCGCAAGACGGAGGGTGGCCACTTCCATATCAGAAGAATGCTTCCATATCAGAAGATGGCGCATTGATATCTTCGCCAAGCATTTTGTGTACGGTATTCAGGCATCGAACAGACTCCATGCGAACAGAACATGTTTTGCGAGGTGCGCCATGGTGTGTGTGTGTGTCAAAAGGTCAGCCCGGCAAGAAGGAAGGAAGTGCTTGGACAGGGTTGTGGTTGAGTTCTCAGGGCCCCTTTGCTGGTCAATGGTGCGCACCGGGGAAGGTTTGCGCTTGTCAGGGGTTGGAAGCTTGCCGCTCGAGAGCACAGTAGGCCCATGCTTGGACATGCTTGGACTGTCCGGGCGTGTCAGCACTTCCGGACACGCAGAAAGAGCGGGAAACCCAGCAGTTGCAAACGCGCAGCAGTGCCCGAGAGGTTGAGCTCAAGCTCTGCAACCCAAACCCTCAGAAGAGCAGGAGACTGGTGGCCCCAAGTGCACACCCTAGTTCAGCTTTCGTCGGGAGTTAAAAACCGAAACCTTAAAACGAGTGGCACATTGGGGGCCGACGCGAAGCAAAGCAGGAGCTTATGGCAACTAGAAGGGAAAGGGGGTTGGCAAACCCTGCGTTTTTGGAATGAGCCCTTGCTTTGGGGGGAGCGAAGGGGTCAGAGTCAGAGCCCGGCAAAGCAGCGAGGGAGGGGCGCACATGGGCTGTGCAATTGGCAGCTAAACGCCAGTGAATGGTTTCGATTTGCTTCTGTGGCCTATAGCCAGCAGCTCGCGACAGGCGTCAAATCTCTCGACAAAGACTCAGGTCGCAGCAGTGTGGTGATGGATTCACCAATCACGTATATACTCGATGCATAGAGTATGACAGAATGCAGACCGCTTCTGGATCGCAAGTTCTATTCATGTTAGATTCGCGGAGCTGGTTTGGGTCCTTCTTAGCAGGCTGCTGCAACCTCAACTTCTGGGCGTGCCAGGTTAGCATGGCCGTGCTGTTCCTTTCAATGCTAACGCAGCTTCTCCTGGAATGAGACAGGGTCGGTTAGCCGAAGAGTTCAATGATCACGGTTGCAGCTGTTCCTGCTGCCGGTTTGCGCCTACATCAAGGATAATATTGGCGATCCTCGGGATCCTGATGGCATGCTTTGGAAGCTTAAAAAGATTAGGCAGGGTAATGTCGTGCAACATCTGGAGATTTTGTGGCCGTTTTTGCAAAAGCGGTTAGTGACTTGGCAGGTGGTTGCGCGTATGGGCTGCTGCTTTTCGCTGGCTTCATCTCAATTTTGTCGAATGTAATTTGGGCAACTCGGCTATTTGTTGCGATGTGGCACCAGCTGACTTGATACAACGTGTCGAACAGTTCCTGATTGTTGGTATTCACGTGACGGGCATCGTTTGCAAGTGGGCCCAGGCTGTAGTGACTTGGGTTGCCTTCAGCAACTTGGGTGAGGACGCATGGTATCCGTACCCCAGCCTTGCGATCGGTGCCTGGCCTTTGAGAGGGAACACACTGCCGTGATGCATGCGAGTGCCTGTCACCAAGACTCGGCTTCAGGATGGTTTCTTCATCTTTATGGTGGCATCACGCTGCTTGTGTCCAGCGCGGTGTTTGGTTGGCTTGTCATGCCGCTCGTACGTGCATTCGATGCGGAAAAAAGCAAGTTGCAGAAGCGCAGCTGGGACGCAAGATGTGTAGCATTGTGTAGCAATCATTCAGAATCTGTGTTCGTATATGAGTTTATGTATATGTACAGGCATATGTAGTGTGCGGACGCATGTGGAAGTATGAGTGTTATGTATATATATATATATAACTATGTACAGTTGTATATATGTATACCATACCTACATGATATACACGTTCATTTTTTGTATGTGTATATGTGTGTCTGTATGGATATATGTGAACAGTGAACATGTATGGATGTATGCAGGTTCTTTTGCATGCAATCTTACATGTATTCATGCTCGGGACATACACACACATGTGTGTTTTTTGTGAATATTTTTGGATGTGTATGCATTCCTTCGATATCCGGCCACTCATGCATGTCGTTCGCTTTGTCTCTGTCTCTGCTAATGTGGTACAGCTTCTTGCAAAGTCGAGCAGTTTGTCGCTGAAATGAAGGCAAGAACAAGCTCATGATGATGTCCTGGTGGAACAGGGACAAGATCCAGTTGTGGCAATAGATCCAGCTGCTTGTGAATGCTGTGCCGAAAACATGTCTCTTCTCCAGCAGGACCAAGAACGGGACCAGTTCGCCATGCACCAACACATGCCGACATCCTGTCCGCAAAACCCACCGCCCTTTGTCCAAATAGCTGCGTGCCTTTCAAGATGAGTCAGTTTCGGATGACAGCTTTAGTCGGGGCAACCGAACTCAGGTATGCCGCATACCCAGCGGATCAAGGCCAAGGCGTCGTTCGCTGACGGTTTTTTGTTCGCAAATGTCATTTGCAACAGCAGGCAACTTTCAAGCCGCCGGGGGCTTGGCCTATGGCGCCGACCAGGAGCGGAGCCGCGTGTGGTGCATGCCTTTTTGCAAGTGTGAATTACGTAATTCATGTGTGCAAGAGTTTGACTCTCAGATACTTGTTTGCGCAGGGCAACCCCGCCTACCAGGCCAACTTGTACGGTGCACCATATCAAGCGTCACATGCGCAACATGCCGGCAGAAAGTACACGCCACGGCAAATTCACTCCCAGCATGCTCGTCGAAGCAGCTCCGTAGGACAGCTTGATCTCGCTTAAGCTTTCGCCGGCAGCTTGAGCTCGTGTTGAGTTGGTGAGAATAGATGGGGCAATTCACATTCTCAGGGACAGCAAACCAACCACGGGACGATTGTCTGAGGTTTCGATTCATGTCGACTAAGACTAGGCATGTTGAAGGTGCACTCTGAAATGGCATTGCTCCATGCCCCAACATAGCCAAGGCAGCCGCTTCCCGAGATGGCCGCCCCCGCTCGTTACGTTTGACGTTTCCCGGCTGAAGGATGAGTTTCTGTACCGACCGGTTCAATCGGCGAATTGTTGTAGCGGGATCCCACCGCCGTTCCTTATGTGTGGTTTTCTGGACTTGAAGATCACTGCACTGCCATTCGCTCGAAGGAGAAATGGCTTTTTTTGCTCTTTAGATGTGGCAGACTGATACATCTTCTGCTTGCCGAAGGCAGCTTTCCTGTATAGATCGATCAGTTCCACCTCTGGTATTGTGGGCTTTCTCTCGTGGCGGCTGTGCCGCTGCGTTCCTGTGAGCACGAAAACTGGGAGATTGCTCTCTGATGGTTTCCCAATTGACGCATGCTGGGTTTCGGCAAAACTATTTGTTGATGCCTGCTCGGCTCACCGTAGGCGGGGGGGTAGGCAGCTAGCCAAGAGCTTTGGTCCTCATAGAGGCTGGAGTTGGCAAGGGTCTGAAGCTTTGGATCTTGTCACTTCGGATTGAATCCTGCGGTACGGGAGGTACATGGCAACGGCTGGCAGTGACGATGCCGATGTTGAACATGTGCAAATTGGCTGCACAGACAGACAGAAAGTACTTCGGTTAGCCCTGAGCTTCTGTAAGGTTCCTTTTCGTGAACCCGCTGTCGGGTGGCCAAGTTGGGGCGGAGCCTTGCCGAGAACGCCGGGACTGTCTCCTTGCAGCTGTTGTTCTCGCGGCATGGGCTAGCAGTCGTTGCAGTGCTGGTACATCCAAGGAGCTTCTCGAAATACCGCAGCCCTTCAGCATTCCGATCCCTCTGACGACAAGACGTGCTCGATTGCATGTTTTCAGACTCCTGGATGCACTCATGTGCCTTACACTGCCCTCTGATGGCTCACGGGGCTCGAGCATGACATTACAGAGAGAGTAGCTTCAGCAGCCGAAAGGACCAGACTATAGACCCTGTGCAGACGTAGCCACTAGTCTTGCTGTCAACAAACCGTGCAAAGACAACTGAGGTTTGTTGGAAGGAATTGCTGGCAGCTTGACGAAACCACTGGCAGAGTTTTGAGCTCTTCTTGAAGTATACAGAGACAGCTCGCAACCGAGGCAACAAGCAAGGCTTTCATGTTATGAGGGACACCCTGTCCACATGTGACATGGTTCGTGTTTTTGTCGGTGGAGGCAGGGGGCTCGTGCTCTTGTCGGCTCTGTCGTTTCGTTTAAAGATTACCTGGTTTTGTGGGTGTCGTGCAAGAGGAAAAGTCGCATGTGCCGTGCAGGCGATGGCACGGTCATGTGGGTGGTTCAGGAAGCTGAACTTCACCACATCAACCCTCAGAGAATGCATATCGGCATGGTGCCACTGGGAACAGGCAGCATGTGGGATGGTTGGCCGGACTATCTTGCTTCGAGCACCTGCAAAGTCTACTGTTGTGGCCAGGGAATGATTTTTCGCGATCGTTGGGCTGGGGTGGTCGGTCCCTTGGCAAGGATGGTTCAGCTGCGGACAGACATAACTTTATGGTCAGCTTGTGTAATTAGTGCCCTGGTTCACGCTATCCAATCTGCTGCTGAATGAAGGAATCCTGATGCCAGCGCGCTGCTCAAAGACGACTGTGCGTTGCTGAAGCAGCTGCTGACTCTCCATTGCAACTTGCGAGTATTTTAGCGACAGCTTCCGCCTTCTTAGCAAAGCTGCAAACATCGGCTTGCTTGAAAGGTTGAGGGTCGATGAAAGCTGCACGAAGCCAAGGAAGGATTGGCTCAAGGCTCCAACTTCTCTTCATGATGTTTGGAAGGTCACACTCAAGGCGACTTTGTGGAAAGAAGCGGTTTGTGGCTTGTTTCGATGCAGAAGGTGCATCTCGGTTAGGCACTGGAGCCAAGGTCGATGCAGAAGATGGCACCATCTATAGAAAAGACGCTCCTGTGAGAAAAGATGGACATGATGTCAAGGAGTTGGAGACCTTTATGATTTTGTATTGCCGCTTGCCGCAAGAATCACTGTTTTGGGAAGCCGATGCTGCCCCGACATGTGGTTCTGATCCTTTTCACGCGACTTCTCGAGGTGGTATTGCCAAGGATGCAGAGCTGGCCTACAATGCGTCTAGCTTACTTTAGTTTGTAAGTTCTGTCCATGTGTTCTTCTCACATGAGCAAGGTCGAACTCAATCGGACGAAGAGCCAGTTCTTGAATAAGCTTGTCTACATCTGGCAAGGCCTCGATCGCCAATCAGCCTTTGAACCAACTGCCGCTTTCCGAGCATGTTGCGTGCACACTGCCTGTCGAGGTTTGATGATTTCCCTGCATTTCTTTTGTTGTGTCGGCCAGCGCGTCCACAGAGTTCTTCGAGGCAGGGCACTGCGAGTGATCATATCTTTCGTCTTTGTGCAATCCACCACTGATGAACTGCGTCTCGTTCCCAGCCACCGCAAGTTGTGGCCCTGCATGCCAGGACTCTACCATGGCACATCGCCGCAGGCCAGCTTGCTGGCATCGCAGGGTAGCCTAGCAACAGCAGATACACTCAGCATCACTTGCCAGGCACCCTCAGTTTTTGAGGTTGGCCTTCGCCACAAGGGGCCCAGGCTCGCTTGCAGTCCGTTCTGAGTGTGTGCATGTGTGTGTGTGTGTGCGCCGCGTGAAACTGCTTGTGGTAGGCTATATAGTAATCCTGTCCGTGCCTTACAGCAAGTGGGCACGAGAGACGTCAGTGTATTAGCCCAGAAACGAAGCTTTGAACAAGCCTGGCGCATGTTATTGCTAAGGAGATGATGCTCGCCTGCAGAACCATTTTGAATGGCAATGGGCAGTAGGCAAGGCAGGCAGCATGTGCGAAGCTCAGGATCTTGTGCCTGAACATTGATTCCTACGCTGGCGGGACCGCCCGCCATTTATGGAGCAGTTCATGGCGATATGGCATCTTGTTCAGAGTGTATGACGGAGACACGTCCTTTGCATCTACCATTTGTAGCTTGTGGCAATCCTGCTAATCTATCCCTTTCGCTTATAACCCTTGGATCGCTCGTAGCTTCTACCATCGACTCCCTTGATCACCCAGTCAGCTGACCACGCAGGCCATGCAGGTTTAGATTCCACAGCTGCTGCCGGTTCTTCGAGTGGACAGGAAAACAGAAGCCAACCCTCGTGGGCAATCTCAAGATGTCAGTAGTTCATGCAAAGTTGCGCTTGTAAAGCCTTCCGCGTGCATCGAACCGGACGAGCTTATCAGAGCCTGCTCGTAGGTGTTGAGTCGACAGACCAAGCCCACATTAGCATCGGACAAGCGCGGCTCGAGACATACCCCTTTCGCGAACTTCGTTTGTACTTTGGACATAGTCGACCGGTGCGATGATTTCACTAGCTGCGAGATGTCCCAAGGCACTTCGCAGCCGCTGTGCGAGGACTTGTTGGATGCTGAGCAAGACCCCTCGGATGGTCAGCTGGAGGTGTTGACGCTCTCCAGGCCAGATGTAGTTGATTTCCTGAAGGGAAGAGGCTTGAGTACACGAAGGTTCTGCAATTTATGCGGCAGTCTGCAGGGTTTATGCGCCAGGCTGCTGCGGGCTGGGTGCTCAGTCATCTATGTGATTGGGCATGGCTTCAGCCACGGTCGTTCTCAGACGGTGGCCCACCGCAGCATCCCGCTGCAGAGCCTCCTCTCGTTTGCGCTTGCGTCCACTTGACTGGGTAACGCAGCTGCAGACGTTCCTTGCTTCTGGCCTCGCATCACTCAAGGCCGCCATGCCAACACAGAAAGTACTTGCCGCTTGGCTATGGCGGCTACCGCACTAGTCCGGTGATCGACACAGCCAAGAGTCATGGAGCCGGGATAGTTGTCACGCCGACAATCGCTTCAGGGTGGCAGGCGTGTGTTCCAGGGAGCTCCTCTGCATTTTGAGTTCAAGCAGCGAAACTATCGTTCGAGACTCAGAGCCTTTCGCATGTTGTTGTGTTGCTTGAAGTGCAATGACCACTTCCTACTTACCACCTACTTGCTGTGCCGGTGATGCGCCTTCCGTGCCAGGGGACGTCATAACTTTTTTTCAAGTGGATGGCGCTGCTTTTCTGATACTATTGGAGAGGTTGCGCGCATCGGAACTTCAAGCTCTTTTTGCGCTTAAGCGGGCTTCCACAGGAAAGCTACAAGCTTCAGAATCCGATCTCACTGACGATCCAGTGACTGGGAATCGGAGTCAGATGACAAAAGTCAAGTCGGTTTACATAGGTTTCGACATGTGCCTAAGCATTTGAGACCGAAGGCATCATCAGCAGATCCGAGTGCTTTCCAAGGCGTTGTGAAGGGCACAGCGTCAGAGGAATGACAAGCTTAGTACGCACATGCCATGTCACCGTTCAGGCCGACAGCCCTCGAAGCTCGGAGCGAATTTATGCAGTGTTTCCGTATGCCGCCGTTCTGGGTATGCATACTTCAACTGCTCTGAGGCATGGGCTGCTGCGGATCTTCCTTATTGTGTCACTCCTCGGACTCAGGCACGGACTCCACCACTGACATGGAAGAACCATGACGGCAAAACATATCAGCCATGGATAACTAACTGAAATTGTTTCATGGTTTATATTTAGTAGTTGGAGTGGTATCTTTCCAATACAGGGGACCGTCGGCGTGCACCACACGAAAAGTTCAAACATAACCAAACATACCAAAATGACAAGCAATGAAAGAACAAACCTAAACAACAAAACTAAACACTCCAGAACCAACAAAAGACCCAACCCAACCGAAAAGCAACAAGAACCAACACGACCAATAAAAACACTTTGAATTTGTTTTCTTGTTTTGCTGTTGTGTTTTGGGTTGTTTGTGGCTTTTTGTTCTTTGGGTATTTTGTTTCTATTGGTTCTTCTTGTTGTTTTGCTTCTTTCGGCGTTTTTGGTTCCGCTGCCTGTGTTTTTTTGCGTATTCCGGAATTGATTGCAAGCATACAACTATCGAAAATGCGCCCCACACACGGAGGGACAATGCAATCGCGGAAAAGGCACTCGTAGATATACGACCCAACGACAATATGCGGCGTTAAATTCTTTCTCAACTATATAATGGCTATTCGTATGATTTCTAGGGAAAATGCTGTTGTTATTGAAGAATCTATATATATATATATCTTTCAACTCATTCGTCCTGCTTTCACTGAGAAATTATATTGTTGATGATATTTATATTCTTTTTTGGGACATAGAATGAGATATAAATTGCTTCAATTTCTTAGTCACAAACCGAATACGAATAAATTCTCTCGTATATATACATCTGTATATATATATATATATATATATATCGTTAGACATACATACATATATATATATATATACACACACACACACACACACTTCAATAAAACGCCGGCGCCACTTGCGGTCCTGGCGGATGCGCGGCCTAGCCTTTAGTACTGTTGTCCTCTTCCGGGCCGTGGGGGGGCTCTTAATGTTCCGAACATTTAGAGCCCCTTGGAAAAGCTAGGGACTCCAAATGTTCCGAACATTTTGGGAGCCCCCCCTTCCCGAAATATTCCGAACATTTTGGGAGCCCCGCCCCCCTGCCCCCTCCCATCTTGGATTGCATGGCTACTGTGATGCGATGTTTGTGCCCATTACGCTGCGTTCCGCTATCGCGTTTGTGGAGTCTATGGGGTGCTGAGGGTTTCTGGGATCTGCGGAATAGCAGGGTTTTGTGGTGCTTGATGTTCTGTGGGGTCTGCGGGGTCTGAGGGGTTTTGGGGTCTGCGATGTGGGGTCTGTATGTTCTGTGGGGTTCGTGGGGTCTGAGGGGTTTCGTGGGTCTGTGGAGTTTCTGGGGCTGAGGGGTTTTGGGGGGTCTGCGGAGTTTCTGGGGTTTACGGGGTTTGTGGGGGTCTGCACGAAAATTTTAGACGACACTCCCTGGCCAAAAAGATTCTGAACATTTTTGATGCGTTCTTTGTGTTTATGACGTTGGGTTCTGCTATTGTGGTGTTTGTAGTGACTGTGTCTGCGGGATTTGTGGGGTTTGTGGGGTCTGTATGTTTTGTGGGGTTCGCGGCGTCTGCGCGGTCTGAGAAGTGTTGCCTGACTATGTAAGTTCGAATTTAATTCGTGGGTCTGT